CGTGGGATTGTACTCCGGTTCTGATAGAGAGTCTGTATGTTTTCTTTTACACTTCACTAATTTAGGATAATTTAACTTAACACTTTGATAACATGTAGGCCTATCTTTTCTTCTTCAGAAAACTAAGTAACCTGCCGTTTACATTTACAAAAAACACACAAACAGTTGGAACATTTAAATTGGGGACTGTTTTTGAGAAACTGGATTACTTTAGAGTTATTTGTTACACTCATTAAAGACTATTACAAAAAAATCACTAAATGTGCTCCAAAAAACACCTTTAATAAACTTTAGACTCAGAAGATTAGAAACTTTAAATAGGCTTCTTAGGTGTTTTGGCTCCACACATGTCTGACTAGGATTTTAACTTTATTTATTATTTAACACAATACATTGTTTTTATTCAGAAATGTTAACCAAATAACATTAGAAATAACATAAATTGCAGTAAAAGAAGATGTATACTTTTCTGTATTTAGTCGACGCATAACCTGAAAACCTTTTTAAAATAACTTAATCTATGTATGTTTTAGTTTTTTGCCTTTAAATACTTCTTACATTAATCTTGTGACGCACCAACTTGAACACACCCGTAATTGTGTGATTCGAGTCTTGAAACAGAAAGCCTCTTCCAGGCTTAAAGCCTGAGTCCAAATAAATATCACTACAATAAACAATATTTATTTTTACATTCTGTTTTTGTCCATCTTATTCTATTTACATCTATATAGACTCTTTCATTTCAACATAAAATGCACTATTTTATTCTACTGTTTCTTTTTGCACTATTTTAATTGAATTTTTTTTTTTTTTAAATCAGTTTTATTGTCTTTTGTCCTATATAACTATGTTGCATTGTTGGAGGAGCCTGGGACTTAAGATTTGCATTGCCACGTCTACACTGTAGCTACTGTGCATATGATTATAAATAATAAATGTATTTTGGGTTAATTTTATATTCAAATTAAGTTAACGAATAATGGATCAGGGAAATGTATCTCTATAACAATAATGTAGTCAAGCAGAAAATAGTAGAGCTATAAACAGTATTTAAAGAATATAATTCAAACATGAATAATTATGTATTGTATATTTTATTAAGTTGAGTTTTTAATCCTAAATATTTTTGTTTTTATTGAATGTAAATACAATTATTATAATTACTGTTATATAACTATTCTGCCACTGTTTCTAATTGTGGCTCTTGTACTTAGTGTTTGAGTTTTAAATAAAGTTGAGAAACGTTTTTGTCCATAAAATACAGTTTAGTTTAAACAATATTCTTCAAGATGTTAATATTTACATGCTTATCTAATCTTGAAATAGTGCTGTATAATAGCTTGTGCCATATATGTTTTAGAGCTACTAAACTAACTCCTAACGGTATAAACAATGGTCACATTAAATAACTGCTAATTGGCTAAAATATTTTAACTTCATTAATATATGTACTGGATGTACCTCATTTCTTAAAATGCTAATACAACATAAATAAAGAACTGTTAGAAAGACACGTGTGTTAATATTTATTCCACTACAATAGAGCCACTATTCTCGTTCTGCTCCAAACATTAGTTGGTGAACACTTACATCTGGTGGATAAAGGCTGGAACTAAATATAACCTGTTATTCATTTCAATGTGCGCGTGGGATAAAGATACCATCGAGTGCTTAAATGCTACGGTACGCTATTGATCGGTGAACTGCAGACACCTGCCAATAAGTAATACTGATATAGTGTGAACTGAGTTAAACACTAATGATGGGTCCAACAAACGTTGTGGCTTTATTTATGTGGACTGACAGATGTAGAAACCACACCGCTATTCATTTGAGAATGTGGTGATTAACCTGCTGGATGTACGAAGGAAATTGTGAAAGTAGTTTGCTTTAGTTGAAATAAGGCTTTATTTTAGAGAGGCTACAACCTGCAATAGATGATATCATTAATAGTAATTTAGGGTTATGTTTCAATTGTATATTGCTCTATAATGTGGGTGTTTTAGTTGGGTGACTTGGTGTAACATGACATGTTGTGCACATCAATACATATAGGGCAAGACATGTCTTTAGTTGGAAGTGAGTGGCTCTTAAAAGAGCCTTTGTTGTTTGTTGACGCGGGATCAGGGTGTTCACTTCTTGGCAGCCTTCTCGGTCTTCTTGGGCAGCAGCACAGCCTGGATGTTGGGCAGCACGCCTCCCTGAGCGATGGTCACTCCGCCCAGCAGCTTGTTCAGCTCCTCGTCGTTGCGGACGGCGAGCTGCAGGTGGCGGGGATGATACGACTCTTCTTGTTGTCCCGGGCGGCGTTTCCAGCCAGCTCCAGGATCTCAGCGGTCAGGTACTCCAGCACAGCGGCCAGGTACACCGGGGCTCCGGCACCGACACGATGGGCGTAGTTACCCTTCCTCAGATGCCTGTGGACACGGCCGACAGGGAACTGGAGCCCGGCACGGGATGAGCGAGTCTTGGTCTTCGCCCTGACCTTTCCTGCACCTTTTCCGCGACCAGACATTTCTGTGTGATTTTTCTTTGACGTTTAGAAGAAAGTAGATCGATCACCGTTCTCACCAGTTTATATAGGAGCGCAGCTAAACGCTCATTGGTCAGATTGATCCGTAACTGTGATCGTCCAATCAGAAAACAGGTCGGTCTGCCGCCTGAATTATTTTCAGAATGAAACTGAATTTTCTGAAATTGTTTTCACCCGTTCAAAGATGAACATAAACTCCTGTAATTTAAGAAGCGAAAGTCTCAATATGTAGAGAACATTAAGACATTCAAAAAGGTGTCATACTTAATGATTATTTACAGTGTGTAATTAACTTATTAAATAATATATTTGGTATTATAACTCAAATTACACACCCACCTAAATACATGCAGCTGTTTGGGCTAAACATTTAACGGGGAGAATATGATCATCAATTGTAACTTATTTGTGTAGGTTGTAATTTGTGTAATGTCTATTTTTTTAATCTTATCTTTATATTTTGAGGACATCTCTTATTTCATATTTAGATTGTAATAGTTTTGCTAGGTATTATTCATTGTCTTTGTATGCACCAAATATACCAAAGCAAATTCCTTGTATGTGTCAAGCTACTTGGTAATAAAACCTATTCTCATTCGTGTATGTATACAAACACACTGTACATACATTATATTTGCAGCACTTAACACATATGATGTATAATACAAACAAAACTGTAAAAAAACTGCTCAGAAAGTAAAATGAACTAAATGTAAATAGTAAAAGCCAGATCACAGGAAGATGATCCAAGTGAGCATGGCAGTTTAATGTCACTAAGTATTATTTTAGTTGTATTAAAATGGAAATCATGTTGAGGTATATTAGACACTTTGTAAGAAGAAAGCAGCAGTAGATGAAGTGGGTGGCTCTTAAAAGAACCGTTGGTTTGTAGCAGTAGCAGCAGTTTACTTGGAGCTGGTCATGTCAAGTCCAATCCAACTTTATTTATATACCACTTTAACACCTTCAGAACAAAGCGCTGTACAGAGATATAAGCTCACACAAAATAATATAAAGTGATTTACATATCATCTATTTGAGTCATGGATCGTGCATGACACTTATTCAAAACAGAGGAACACGTCTATAGAAGTAGTGGGTGGCTCTTAAAAGAGCCTTTGTGTTGTTGGTATGTCAGCAGCAGAGTTTACTTGGAGCTGGTGTACTTGGTCACGGCCTTGGTGCCCTCAGACACGGCGTGTTTAGCCAGCTCTCCGGGGAGCAGCAGGCGGACAGCGGTCTGGATCTCCCTGGAGGTGATGGTGGAGCGCTTGTTGTAGTGAGCCAGACGAGAGGCCTCACCGGCGATGCGCTCAAAGATGTCGCTCACGAAGCAGTTCATGATGCCCATGGCCTTGGAGGAGATGCCGGTGTCCGGGTGGACCTGCTTCATCACCTTGTAGACGTAAATGGCGTAGCTCTCCTTCCTGGACTTTCTCCTCTTCTTTCCAGTCTTGGTGGCGGTCTTAGCGACGGCTTTCTTGGAGCCCTTCTTGGCCGCCTTGACAGGGGGTGCGTCAGCAGGCATGATGAGAGAGAGAGGTGCGACAGAGTAGAATGACTTCTGTGTCACAGCGCGGTCTTTTTATATTCACTAGATGCAAATATTACTGTGCTGTTGCTCGCACGGGATTGGTTGTCTTCTGAGCAGGACGGAGCATGCGCTTAACTAGTTTTAGAATCAAAACAGATTGGATGACAACATGTAAAATGAACCCCCCATTGATTATGTATTTGTATTATTGGGGTTTTATAATGTGTTGTACATGAATAAATAAATCGGTTGGAATTAATGTACTTTTAACTCTTTCATATGTTTTTAACTATGTATAACGTGGACAACAGAGAAACATATTTTTCATGACCAACGTTGGAATTTAAATAAAAAAGTGAGGTGAAAGTGATGCTTGTCACCCTCTAGTCCACACGTATTAATCCACATGAATCCCAATACGTATGATTTCAATATCCTGAAATACAAATGTATTCATTATAAGTGAGTTAGTCCTTAACATATCCCAGTGTATATCACCTTAAAACATAATTCAAAAGTTTAAGAAACCCCAAACAGCTGGAAGTACAATTCTTTGGAGCAGTCATGGTTGTGGCTGTAGTTGTGGAGACTTTACTTGGATGTCGGATTAACAACGTTGTGAAATTATCTACATTTTTAATATCCTAGCAAGAGTTTTGGAGATGATTGGCCCAGGGAAGATGACACGTGCGCTGTAGTGTGTGATGGGCTGTGTGTGCTGTGGGCTGGTTATAGCGCTAACTACACTTCTGGACGTTGTACATATTCAACAGTACTGTTTCTGTTAATCGGATTGCCCCTTAAATATAATAACCATGACATTATTTGAATATTAAGGTTATTCATTATTATCAAATTGCACATACTGTCTCGATGTCTGAGATCAAACATGTTCATACTAGCAAACGTGTAAGACACGTTTTGCATCTCGTCTCTCATCTTATTCTGACTGCAGTTATTGACACAAGAAATATGCTCATTATGACAAAATGGGTGGCTCTTAAAAGAGCCTTTTGTGGATCTTAGTCAGATCAGTCTGATGACAGCTCACTTCTTCTTGGGTGCTGCCTTCTTCGCTTTGGGTTTGGCGACCTTTGCGGGGGATTTCTTGACTGCAGGGGCCTTTTTCACCACCTTCTTGGAGCTCTTTGCAGCCTTTTTAACGACCTTCTTGGGGCTTTTAGCGACCTTCTTCGGGCTCTTGGTGGCCTTCTTGGGGGCTGCTTTCATGGCTGCTGCGGGTTTCTTCGCCTTCTTGGGAGACTTATTTCCTGCCGCGGGCTTTTTGGCCGCTTCAGGTTTCTTGGCTGCGGGCTTCTTGGCTTTAGGAGCGACTTTCTTGGCTGCGGGCTTCTTGGTCTTAGGCTCGGCAACCTTCTTGCTCATCTTGAATGATCCGGACGCTCCGATGCCCTTGATCTGGACCAGTGTCCCATTAACGACCAGGCTCTTGATGGTGGTCTTAACGCGGGAATTGTTCTTCTCCACATCGTAGCCTCCGGCAGCCAGAGCCTTCTTGACGGCGGACAGAGACACGCCGCTTCGCTCCTTGGATGCGGCCACAGCTTTAACGATGAGATCGCTGACTTTGGGGACAGCTGCCTTCGGCTTGGAAACCTTCTTCCTGGCGGCTTTGGCCGGTGCAGCGGCTGGAGGGACTTCTGCCATTTTCTGCTCAAGTGTTCTGTTCCTGCTCACACTAACACGAGTCTGACTGAACTGCTGGAGAGAGCAGAGCAGGGGCTGGCCTTAAACACACCATGAGAACCGTGGAGACTCAACTAAGCCCATTGCGCCACTCTGCAGTCTGAAAACTTTGCCACTTGTGTTTTCTCTTCACTGATAAAAGCCTCCAAAGTCATTTTAGAAAAAGTGCTGAAGGCTGACTGTTAATGGAACTGATAGCGGACTTGATTCGCTTCATTTTGAAAGTATGTATAGCTCTGATGCTCACTGAATTTTGTTTGTGGAGCTTCCAATCGTCACATTTCCCCCGCTGTGGCCAGCACTGTTCAGCTGCTTATCCCTCTAATTCTTCTACTGAAAACATTTCAAATGCACCAAATCTTTGATAAAAGCTGTTTTCCAGTGACCCACATGTGTGTCCAGGGACTCCCTGTAAAAAACAGCTGTATTTTGTTTATGATATTATAATAAAGTGACGTTTTCTGGTAGGAGCAAACACACTGATGATCCGGGGCATAGGGTGCGGTTTAACCAGGCTTCCCATTAAAGTTGCTCGCTGTGAACATGTCTCCAGGTGAGGAGGACTCATTTCATTATACTAAGTTAGGCTTTTAATTATATCAAACAGCGTGGCAAATACAGCTTAGTTAAACTGTTTGGGAGGCTGTGGCTCAGTGGGTAGTGTGCTGGACTTCTATTCAGGGGGTAACAAGTTCGAGTCCCACTGCAGTCAGCATGTCGTTGTGTCCCTGAGACACTTCACCCCAAATTGCTCCTGTGGGGATTGTCCACAGTATTGAGTATGTAAGTCGCTTTGGATAAAAGCGTCTAACAAGTGACATGTAATGTAATGTTTCACTGACACTCATCAGAGAACTTGATGCTGATTTAATGGTCTAATTAAAATATAAAAAGGACAAGAGTGGCTTTTAAGAGGCACTGATCTGTAAATGTAAACTTGACATTGTTTCCCTTATGTTACACACACTATGTATGAAATGTGTGCATACATAAGATCAATTTTTTCATTTCCCTATTTTAATTACATTTTTACATTGTGTTTTTTTAATGTTAATTTAGAACAATGTACATGGAGGTGTGCCCAGGTGCGCATAATTTTACGTAATTAATCATATATTTTCGATTATAAGGAGTATAAATATGATTCAGATATCTGCGGAATCGCTGGAAGAGTAGCTTTCCAGCGGTATCTCCTGTGAGACTGTAACCAGGACACAGCGAGTCAATATGGCCGCTCAAAGCAGCTTGACTTTACACTGTGTGGGATTGGTGGATTTGTGTGTCCGTCAAAGAAATCTCGGCCGGCAGCCATCATGGTCTGAAATGACCAATGGTCATCGAGAAATCACTAAGGGCCTACCCACCAAGTAAAAAAACATAAACCACGTGTCTCCCATCAGTTTACGTCTTTGAGGAGATTGATTGATTGATTGATTGAAAAGTTTATTAACAGCTTGTATATTGGGTACAGTACAGTACAGCTCAAAACATACAATTGTTAAGGGGATGCAGACCAGAGAAAGACTTTCGTCTTGTTTACATCAGGGTCCCCCATTTCCAATTCATCATATCATTTAAGACATATAAGACATATTTGACATACAGATGGCTTATTTACAATTTACATACAGGTGGTTTTTTACATACAGATTGCTTATTTACAATTTTCATTTTAGATTTCGTTCTAATACATCCTAACCGGACATTTAAGACATACCAAGTCTACAGATATACAGTTAGTAACAGAGTCTAAAATGCGAGTATATACATAGATGGGGGGGGAAGCTGTCCATTGTACGACAGGTTGAGATTTGTACCATTACCGTTTTGCAATGCTCTCCCCCGAAGGTGCTCTTTAAGAGAGAGAGAGACAGAGAAAATGGCTAAAAAAAACTTTACAGTTGCAGACTTCTCTAGAGATTTGTTTCGCTAGCAGCATTGAAGATAGAGCCTCAGAACCTGAAGTCTTCGACTCTTTTATCATACTGTTCTGTACAGATGAGACTTTGTCATAGATTTATTGATGTGTGCCTGTTATTATTTTACCGTCCTGTACAGATGAGACTTTGTAATCAGATGTAGCCTATGTATATGTGTGTCTGTGATTTTATACTGAATGTAAAGTAACTGGAAATACCTGTGTGTGTGTGTGTGTGTGTGTGTGTGTGTGTGTGTGTGTGTGTGTGTGTGTGTGTGTGTGTGTGTGTGTGTGTGTGTGTGTGTGTGTGTGTGTGTGTGTGTGTGTGTGTGTGTGTGTGTGTGTGTGTGTGTGTGTGTGTGTGTGTGTGTGTGTGTGTGTGGCCATGTAGTAAGGATGCCCTCAAACCGCCTGCCTCGCAGAGTGCTATATGGCCAGCTACACCATGGTCGACGCTCTGCTGGAGGGCAGAAGAAGCGCTATAAAGACCAGCTGAAGACTGCGTTAAAGAAATGTAAAATCAGACCTGAGGCCCTGGAGGATGCTGCCGCTGACCGTAACACCTGGCGCCAGCTGTGCCGGGATGGGACCCAAATGCTGGAGGAGGAAAGGACAGCCAGGAGACAGGAGAGGAGACTCAGGAGGAACACGCCTACAGTTGCCGTTGCTGCTACCACCACATACACTTGTCCTACCTGCAATAGGATCTGTGGGTCCAGGATAGGGCTATTCAGCCACCAAAGAACTCACCGATAGAAGTGGACGTCATCATCGGATTCGATGGACAACAATAAGCAAGTGTGTGTGTGTGTGTGTGTGTGTGTGTGTGTGTGTGTGTGTGTGTGTGTGTGTGTGTGTGTGTGTGTGTGTGTGTGTGTGTGTGTGTGTGTGTGTGTGTGTGTGTGTGAGAGATCGAGAGAGACTCCTTCTCCAACCTCCCAAACTGTATTTGTATGTGTGCATTGTTATTTGTGCTTGAGCAACATTTTACTTTATTTCAATGAAATTAGTTGTAATTATTGTCCTACATTTTAATTTGTTTTACAGAGATGTTTCACAGATGTCTGGGCCTAGTGGCCCACAGGCGGTGTTTATCTAGCAGCCACAACATCCATCTGTGCCGGCCCCCAGGTCAAGATCTACTGTGGCTCAAGGGCCTTCACCAGAGCCATCACCACCAAGGACCAGCATCACTACAGCTGCCTCCACCTCCATCTGCGGCTGCCACCAGGTCAAGATACACCTCAGCACAAAGGCTCCACCACAGCCATCACCTTCAACCCAGCCAGCAAGGAGGTCTCGTGGAGGTCTCGTATAGCACTTGTACACCCCACCTACACAGCAGCCCATGCACCATCACCCCCACCTACACAGCAGCCAGACCCACTGTCTTGGAAGACAGACAAAGACCTTGACACTGTCTTGACATTTATAATGAATAGTTGGTTGAAAGTTCTGATGTTCAATATTGTAAATAGTGAGATTTTCCAGTTTCTTATATTTATATAAATAGTTGGTTGAAAAAAACATATTTATAATAAATTGTTGGTTGAAAAAAAAAGGTTGAATGCTCAATTTGTATTTGTACACATCACATGAACCTTGGTATGTAATATTAAGTCATTATGTATCTCAGTCCCTGCTGTGGTGAAAGTAGAGTGATAAACACCTATTTTACTCAACATTCAAATTAAAAAAAATTCCTTTTAGACATGAATAACACATTTATATACAGTGTAATTCAAATATTTCACTGCTTTTGTGATCCTAGGACTTTGGTAACCAAATCTAAAACCACAAAACAATTCGATCACATGAGTACATTTGTGTTTTCACAAGAGTTTTGAAGATTTTCCGAAAATCAGATGTCAAATTTGAAGCTTTTGAGCTACTTATCTCATCAAACAGTGCTCCAAGGTGAGTAATATGCATATATAGCAAGACCAGAGATTGTCCTGAACATTTTTATATGTAACACATGGGGTGCCATGTTAGAAGAAATACATTTAAAAGGTGATTTAAGAAAACATAAAAAAATCGAGAAAATACCCTTGGGTTAATTTTGTTTAGCTCTTCAACATGAGGTTTCTTATGATTATAACATTAAAAATATAGTTCTATATGAGGAAATGCAACAGCATCAAATAACCAACTTCTTTAAGAACTCTTAAGTGGAACAATAACTATCTCAGCTCATATTGTTCTTATGTGTTTTGTTTACCATCAACTGGAACATGTATCTACTGGTACATGTTAACAAGATGATAACGGCTTACAGCTAATGAAAAACCAACATTCAGTTTCTCAGAAAATTATAATATTACTTAATTAATAAGTCATAATACCGAAATGTCAGGCTCATAAAAAAGTATGTTCATGTTTCTGCTCTCAGTACTTGATTGGGCCTCCTTTTGCACAAATGACTGCGTGGCATGGAGGCGATCAGCCTTCGACTCTGCTGAGGTGTGATGGAAGCCACGGTTGTTTCAATAGCGCCCTTCAGCTTGTCAGCGTCGTTGGGTCTTGTGTCTCTTATCTTCCTCTTGACAATACCCCATACATTCTCTATGGCGTTTAGGTCAGGCGAGTTTGCTGACCAATGAAGCACAGTATGTCCATGGTCATTCAACCAGGGCTTAGTAATGTTGGCAGTGTGGGCAGGTGCCAAGTCCTGCTGGAAAATAAAATCAGCATTCAGCTTTTCAGAAAAAGGAAGCATGAAGTGCTCTAAAATGTCCTGGTTGACGGCTGCGTTGACTTTTGACTTAATAAAACAGATAAAATAGTACAAGTGAATAAAATAAAATTGAAAATAATCGAAAGAGAATATGATAGAAACTGTGCAGAATAGTCTATACCAGCGGTTCCCAACCTTTTTCAACTCAGGGCCCACTTAAGAATAAAAAAAATGTTCCGGCACACATTCAACCATAAACAATACGGAGGCTAAACAAAGTTCTGAACATGTGACACGTTGTAAATCCACGATAACAGACCGCTGTCAAGGACTGTAATGACCGTTGCTAAGGTGGATCAAGAAAGAGAAAGGAAAAGAGGTTAAAATTAAAAAAATCTTAATAATGAAAATGTTTCCACACA